CTAAATTTTTAAATTCTATTTTATATTAGACAATTATCTCAATCAACATCTACGTCCACATTAGCTGCACTGCAGACTACCTCTACAGCCACATTATCTGCTCCGCGGATATAGCGTTATGCCAATACGATACATTACATGTACTTACTTACTTGCCTTTACTGTACCAACTCTTGTTCTTTCCACGTAATCATGTTTTTACAGTTATCGTTTGCTGTATATCTTCCAGCAAACTTTATTTCGTGTGAAGTGTATTTAATTAATTAAATCTCTGCGAAAGATTGAGAAGATGAAGGGATAATTCAAACTATGAAGACATGGTTACATGGAAAAGACAAGAGTTGATACAATAATAAAGACATACATGTATTTGTATCCTGCTGGCATAAGGTTATAGAAGTTGATTGAGATTGAAAAATAATAATGAAAATAATAAAAAAAATAAAGACACATGTATTTGTATCGTGCTGGCATAAAGTTATAAAAGTTGATTGAGATTGAAAAATAATAATAAAAATAATTAAAAAAAGGAAATATTCAATCATCATTTAAAAGCATATTTGAAATCTGTAGAATAAACAGTTTTTGCAAAAAATGTGGAGCATTTGAGCTCTAGTAAGTCTAAAAATAAATGTAAACATCAATTAATAATAACTGATGTTATATATATATTATATATATAAACCAATTTGTTGCAATATTCACTATAAAAGGTTGTAAGGGTAAGATGGCTAAAAGTGAATAATTTAAAAGATAGTTAACATAATTTTACATAAACTGAAATATTTCATAAAATAAAATATTTGTAATATTTCGAAGTTTATGTAAGATTATGTAAAAATTATACCTTTACAACTTTTTATAGTAAATATTGCGAGGAATCGATTTATATGAGAAAAATTAAGGTAATTCTATTTTGAAAATATAAGTGACCTTTAAATAACCTTGAAAATCGCCGTTTAGGAAAAAGTCTGTGTCAACTTTTTCTTTTTCGAAATCCTGCAACTTTTATCTAAATTTAATAGAAAATGTATAAAAAATGCTCGACATTAGTACACACACACACACACACACACATATGGGTAAATTTATATAAATAGGGTGCTTTAGGAGGAATGATCAGGATTCTAGGATATGATTGTACACATCATTTTAAGCAAAGAAGTTTAGATAAACATGTTTAATAATTGTTCTATTCCGGTCATAAAAATATACAAAAATGAATGATATAATCTCTAAAAACTCACCTTTAAAAAAAGGTAAAAAAAGGCGACCAGTTAAGGGCACGCCATTAACAAAAATTATCCATTGCAAACCCATGTAGAATCCTATCCTATTGCAAACCCATGTAGAATCCTATGAAAAATTAACCATTGCAAACTCATGTAGAATCCTATGAAAAATTAACCATTGCAAACCCATGTAGAATTGTATTAAAAATTATCCATTGCAAACTTATGTAGAATCCTACATTGCAAACCCATGTACAATAGAATTGTATGAAAAATTATCGATTATAAACCCATGTACAATCGTAACAAAAGTAATGAAATAAAAAAAAATTGCGCCAAGTGAAAGTAGAAACTTGTACCAGTGGAAAATTAAAGTTGCAGACATATATAGAGTCGTATAATGAATCAGTAAAAATTTAAATTTGCAAATGTAGAATCGTACCATAAAAAAACTTATCTTTTAAAAAAAAAGATAAACAAGATGCCAAGTCCATGCGCCATGTGAAAAAGAAATAAAAAAATTTTAGTTAAAAAAACTGGGCGCGCTGCTAAGTTTCAAAATTACAATGCACCTTAAAGTAACATTAATTAATTTAAACACAAAACATATTTTAACTGTAATGAGTTTAAAAGTAACAATTTAATTTTAATATTGTTAGAATATTATTTAGCAGCGCTCCCAGTTTTTTTAACTAAAATTTTTTTATTTCTTTTTCACATGGCGCATGGACTTGGCATCTTGTTTATCTTTTTTTTTAAAGATAAGTTTTTTTATGGTACGATTCTACATTTGCAAATTTAAATTTTTACTGATTCATTATACGACTCTATATATGTCTGCAACTTTAATTTTCCACTGGTACAAGTTTCTACTTTCACTTGGCGCAATTTTTTTTTATTTCATTACTTTTGTTACGATTGTACATGGGTTTATAATCGATAATTTTTCATACAATTCTATTGTACATGGGTTTGCAATGTAGGATTCTACATAAGTTTGCAATGGATAATTTTTAATACAATTCTACATGGGTTTGCAATGGTTAATTTTTCATAGGATTCTACATGAGTTTGCAATGGTTAATTTTTCATAGGATTCTACATGGGTTTGCAATAGGATAGGATTCTACATGGGTTTGCAATGGATAATTTTTGTTAATGGCGTGCCCTTAACTGGTCGCCTTTTTTTACCTTTTTTTAAAGGTTTAGAAACTACGATACTTGATACAATTAATGCAAATGTAAGATTTTACTATCGCTATGTGGATGACATTTTAGTTTGCATGCCGGAGGATCAGATCTCATATTTAGTTGAAAAATTTAATGATTATCACAATAGACTAAAATTTACAATAGAACGAGAAGACAACCGTTGCATAAGTTTTTTGGATATTTCACTCAAAATTATAAATAACATAATTCACATTGATTAGTTTCAGAAAAAAACATTTTCGGGTAGAACACTTTCATATTATTCAAATCATCCTATGTGTCATAAAAAAAGTGTTATATATAATCTAGTAGACCGATTAATACTATTATCACATCCTATTTTTCACAGTAAAAATTTAACATTAATTATAGAGATTTTATTAAGTAATGGTTATCCTCTCGATCTCATTTTCTCAGAAATTAATAGAAGACTGAAGTTCCTCATAGTTAATAGATTAAACACTGAAATGACTCATAATACGAATAACAATGACATAAATAATGACAACAATAAAAAATTTATAGCGATACCATACATTGAAAGAATCTCGGAATTAGTAGCATCAGAATTAAAGAAATCTAATATAACAGTAGGATACAGAAGTTTGAAAAAATTAAATAGAGTCATAAAAACACAAAAAGACAGAGATAGTCGTCAGAATAATTTGGATGTCATATATAAAATATCGTGCAATAATTGTGATGCTACATATGTAGGGCAAACTAAAAGACAATTAGGCACAAGAGTAAATGAACATAAAAATAATATCAGATTGGATTCTGCAAGACACTCGGTGGTTTCTGATCATATTGTAAAGTTTACACATACTTTTAATTGGAACAACACAATAATCTTGGATCACGAAAGGAATTATTATAAAAGGTTGATATCGGAAATGATATACATTAAAGAGAAAAAAACAGTATCAACTTAAAAAAGGACACCGAGCGACTTGACTGGTTCTTATTTTGATGTTTTAGAAAAATTGTCTATGTCATCTTAGCATGGCGGTATATATACAGCGTTCTGACATTGTGATTTACAGATATTGAGTTTGCTTCGTATAAAGTATACATTGTTTATAATGTTTTTTAACAAGAAATATTTTAAAGAATTTTTATTGTCTCAACATAAATGTAAGTGATCACTATTTATTTAAAAATCAAATAATCAATATTCAGGCTAACACATTAATTATTTCACAGCTTATTACATATTTTTACATCATGGATTACAAAATTAGACGTTTATTTAAAAAGAACTACAGAAATCTGATGTTCGAGATTAGACTCTTTAACGACTAATTCGAACGATCAGCCGTAATTCAAGCCAACAATTATGATGTGTTATACTGCGTTTTTTCATATTATAAGTCTATATATTTTACATGTATGATAAGTTCTGTCTTTCCAAATTATTTAAATTATTGATATGTTAGCAAAGAGATATTTATATTGATAAAGATTGTCGTACAGTTTACTAATTATCATTTGTATTATTTTCATGACGTAGAATAAAAAATTTTTAACACCTAATTAATTAGCTCGTTAAGTTGGCCTTTTAATTTATAACTTATTTTTAAATTTTTTAGACAACTTTTGTTAATCCCTTAATTATTGTCACACACACACACACACACACACACACACACGAGTGTATTTTATATTTTAATTTGACATAATCTTACATAAACTATGAAATTTTTCGCAAAATATTTATTTTTCGATAATCTTACCTTAATACATTTATGCATAAAATAATGAAAGATGAAATTAATTGGTATAAAAAATACACATAGTTGTTTGTAAGCAAAAATATGTAATTTACAACTAGTAGCAACATATTTTAGCTACATCAAGACAAAAGTCTTAATAACAATTATGTGTTTCCTTTATTCTAATCGATTTCTCTCTTTATTTTGTGCCTAAATTAAAGTAAGATTATCAAAATATAAATATTTAATACCTTATGTAAGATTATGTAAGATTATTTAAACTAAAGTATAAACATATTTCATAAATTATTCACTTTCTAATTATTTTACTTTTATAACTTTTTATGCAGAATATGGTAAAGAATCGATTTATATATAAAAAATATAATTGTTCCAGAAAGAAAAATTTTCTTGAATTGTTTAGAAAATTCAAAGAGATAGTTATTTTTATAGAAGAAAATTTTTTCAAATTTATTTATTGCATATGACAGCTTATGTAAAACAGATTTATATTCACAAAACAGATAAATATTCACTAAAACAGATTAATATTTACTATATAAACTTTTTTAAAACTATCGGAATGATTTCAAAAATTGTGTGGACCGTTACATTGAATACCCCATATATGTATATTAAAATTATAAGAAATAAATATTTTTCTCTCAGTCAATACCAATACTAAAATTATAAGCTTAATTTTTTACAGAACAAAAGAAACGTCTGAAAGTCTAATACTATAAAGTCATTTTTGATTGGAAAATTATAAGATCACAATTAATTACTAATTAATTATTGAATCCTAATCAGCTATATAACCCTTTCTTTACATATTGCAGCATTAGAGCTCAGTTTCGTCAGATGAACCTTTTGCATGACAGTTTACTTGTCCGCAAGAACTTGTTTTTTCCTTCATAGACACCCATGACGTGGTAGTGCTCGACATTTTTGAGTTCGTCTCAACTTCTAATCGCTTCAATAATATCACTTTGATCTTCTTTCTCCATACAAAGATGATCAAAGTACAAAGATTCTGCAGAATGTTCACTAAACCAGTAACATACCAAACATAATTGGGCACATTTTTAGACAACCATGTCACTGTCATCACGAACCATTTAATGCCAATCACGATAAACAGCAAGATAAAAAGTTTTAGATACAGATTTAACCTGCAAACAAAATTTATATTTCAATCAATTAAAATTAATATTAATCAAAATTAATATTGGTCGCTAGTGGTGAAAATAAGCTTAGAAAAACTTGACTTCGACGTAACTAGCAAATTTTATTTAATTATTTCACGACGTTTCGACCATTTGGTTGTGGTCCTTTTCAAGTGAAATTTCTACAACATAATATTACACAATAGTTTTTAACATACGAGAACTCATTTAAGTGTTAAATTAATAAAATAAATATAAATTTTATAAACATACCCATCAATTAAACTGAGATTAACGTAACATCACACTGGTGTTATTTAAAATCGAAAGTTAAAAGTTAAAAGAGGAACACGTCCCATCGTTATGATGTTGAAAGTTAAAAGTTAAAAGAGGAACACGTCCCATCATTATGATGTTTCGTCAACGACTAAATTTGAAACGCGCCACTAAACAATCTTTATTATTTTGTCGTAAATGTTTGTCAAATTCTCGGTGTCTTTCTGTAGGTCAACCGTATTGTCATGCTTCTTTATGAAGAACATTTCAGCAATCTCTCTCTTTCTTACATGTTTCTCGTTATGTAAAATGGTCGGTGATTTCCAATCAAAGTTATGTCCAAAATCACATCTGTGTTTGCTCAAAACCGAATGATTAGACTCATGTAATTTAATATTGCTGGCATGTTCCTTCACTCTAGTGCATAAATGTCTTTTCGTTTGTCTAATGTATGATGCATTACAATTTTCACAATTAATCTTGTATACTACTATTTGTATAATACTATTTGTTTTAATATCATTAGTTATTAAATCTTTACCTCGTTTTATCAGCCTATTCAACTTTTTTGGCAAATTATAAACGATATTTATGTTAGCATTTTTAAGTGACCTTTTAATACTGTCGCTAACATCTTTAACGTATGGGAGTGGAATTACATAATTCTTATCTTGAGCCGAATTCACATTAACGTTATTATCTAAATCATTACTCAAACTGTCGTTATTATCCGCATTGTGACCGTTAACATTCCTATTGTTATTCAGTACATTAATTCTTTTATTTACATACTTCCCAGCAAACACAATATATAAATGTTATATACTTAAGCATGTTACATGTAACGTATATGTTAGTTGTAATTTCCCACTCATAGATGTAACATTTTTAATATTACATATATTACATTGTAGTTATATTGTCATTATATCCCAAGATAGCACTGACTTATCAATACATCAATATGCTATTTGGTATATAATTACAATATAACTACAATGTAATATATGTTATATTAAAATGTTACATCTATGAGTGAGAAATTACAACTAACATGGATGTTACATGTAACGTACACATTATATTACCTGTTATATTCCGTTTTATTATAGCAATGTAACAATTATATATTGGTGTTTGCTGGGTTATTAATAATATGATCCGGAAAACAATTATTGATTAAAATGTTCTTTACAATCTCAATATTCGTATTATGAAATTGTTCGTTAGACAGTAAAATTGCATGGTCTACTAAATTGTAAATCGTATTAATTTTATACTTGATAGGATGATTCGAAAGAAAATTGATGTATCAGCCAGAACATGTAGGTTTCCTAAACCAATTAGTTGTCAATTTATTCCCATTGCGGATAACTGTAGAATTAAAAAAATTAATAGAAGAATTGGTCTCTATTTCATGTGTAAATTTTAAACGTTCATGATAGTTATTAAATGTACTTAAAATTTCATTTATTTTAGAGCTAGGTAAAATAACAAAAATGTCGTCCACATATCTATAAAAAGTCTGAACTTTAAAACTTAAAGAATTTAAACAATTTGTTTCCAAGTCATCCATTACCAAGTCAGCTAATATCGGTGATAGAGGGGATCCCATAGGGCTTCCATAAATCTGTTCATAGTACTGCTCATTAAATTGAAAACTAGTTGAAGTAAGTATTACATCAATAGCGTATAGAAACTGTTGCAAATTAAATTTAGTTTTTAGACTTATGTCACTCCAACGACTTTCAATTGCAGAAAAAACTAAATCTTTTGGAATATTTGTAAACAACGAACAAACATCCAAGGTCGTCATTACGTCATCGTCATTAACCCTTGTATTTTTAATAATATTCACAAACGTCCAACCATCTTTAACATTTGAATCCGGTTTCTTAACAGACTTAACTAATATCTCATGAATGTAACTGGCAATATTATAAAAGGGACTGCCTAACGATGACACAATGATTCTCAATGGGTACCCGCTCTTATGGATCTTTGGGAGCCCATAACACCGTGGTAAATTACCATTCGTGCAATTCAGAAATTTATATGTTTGATCATCAATGATCTCATTATTATGCCATGACTTTACTAACGTATGAAGTTTGTTCGTCAGACGTGTAATCGGATTTTTATTTAATTTTTTGTATGTCATCGAATCACTTAACAATAATTCCATATTAGTCACGTAATCATTTCTATTCATAACCACTGTCACTTGTCCTTTGATGGGTATGTTTATAAAATTTATATTTATTTTATTAATTTAACACTTAAATGAGTTCTCGTATGTTAAAAACTATTGTGTAATATTATGTTGTAGAAATTTCACTTGAAAAGGACCACAACCAAATGGTCGAAATGTCGTGAAATAATTAAATAAAATTTGCTAGTTACGTCAAAGTCAAGTTTTTCTAAGGAAAATTTATATTTGTATATTTTTCAAAAAAATGATAAATACTATTTATAAAAATTATTAAAAATAAAATAGAATAAATTACAATCTTAAAAAGAAAAAGAGTAAAAAAGAAGAAAATAAAATTTTTTAAATGAAATATATGCAATTATTTTTTTCTATTTATCAAATTTTGAGAACTACAGATTTTTCGAAAAAATTGAAGTTACAGCAACATATATTATCATTTTTAGATTACAAGAAAGAAAAGAAAAAAAGACAAAAAAGAAACGAGTGCATCGAAAAGATGTTGCTTCCAAATAATCATTTTTTATTTTCATTAAGAACGCAGATCAATCAATTGATGTACTTACGTAATAGTGTTTTGCAATATTGTCATGTAATGTATTATTGGAAGAGATATTCATTAAAATGTATTGGCATAAATCTTATTAACAAAGTAAAAGATTGTCACACTAATTGTAAAATGCAAAAAGTCTAATTACAGACCATTTCTTGTTGTCCTTATATCGCTTGCTTTCCGAATCTGTCAAACAAAAGTTTGTATCCTTTTCGTATCGTTTCATCTTCAATGCCGTAAAGATGGATAAGCTAATACTGCAACTGATACAGATACTTTTGAACACGTAATAATACAACAAAAACGCTTCTTTGTCTGTAATTATAATAGATAATGAATTTTTATATACTGTTTTTTACAGTAAGGGAGACCGGGACCAAAAGTAACAATTTTTGCATTATAAATCAGTTATTAATTACCTTTAGAGATATATATTAAAAATGATTATATCTTAAAAAAAAACTCTTTATTAGTCTATTATTATACGTATTTATGTTTCATCTTCAAATAATAGGTATTTAAAAAGCTACTGTAACTTTCCGTAAGAACATTTATTTTTTATTTTGGGGACCTAAAATGAAAGTAACATAGTATAAAAAGGAAAGCATTTCTAATTTAGTTTTTAATTTAGAATAAAATATAATAAAAATATTATTTTTAAAATATTACATAATTTTATTATAAAAATAAAAAATAAAACAATTAGTTATTATTATCTTCCTTCAAAACTTAAATTTTCTTTAGTAAGCAACATAAAAATTATAATTCAAATCACAACAATTTTATATTTTTTTTACTCTAAATAAGTTTACATACTTATACAGAAAAGATCAAGATATCGGTACCTGCTCTAAATCACAATTTAGGAATTATTTAAAAATATCCTGTGTGTGTGTGTGTGCGCGCGCGCGCGCGCGTGTGTGTGTGTGTGGTGCAAGTACCGTGTTACTTTTGTCCCTAGACACATTTTTAAAATAAAAGTATTATCTAAAAACGACGCAAGACTTAACAAAATCAATTAGGATATACATTTTAGAAGAATGTACCAACATATAATCACATAAATATATAAACTTTAATTAGATATAAATAGATACAAAAAAACTAAAATAAGAAATATTTATATGTATAATGCAAATACATAAATTCCGTTTCTGCATGTGCAACCGGCACAATTGTTCTAAGAGAAAAGAGGATTAGGATATACGCGTTTGACTGTATAATACAAAATATTCAACACATTGTGTAGGTTGACAGGAGGCTTGTTACTTTCATATTCATAACGTTGTTACTTTTGTCCCCGATCTCCCCTATATTAAAAAGCATTATTAAAGTTATATATCAGAGATTTTTACTTACTATAGAACCAGCAATTACCTAAATAAAAGTTCAGTCTCAAAATATTTGGTACATATTCGGAAACAGAATCCATGATAGCATAGACAATAGCTAAGATAAAGGGACAACCCCAAGCAAAGATCGCATAAAACAACTTCCTTTTTTCCAGTTTTTTTACGTTATTATGTAACGAACAGAATCCTCTGCAATTTACATATCATATTTAATTAACTAAATAATAAATAAAGGAAATAAAAACCAATAAAAACGTTAAAATAATGTTTGTCTTTTTAATTGAGGCTTTCTCGAAAGGCTCGCAACTATAAAAGTATATTTACGTACATTGGCACTCGATTACCATGAGAAATGATATAAGATACGTATAACATTCTTAAACTTTTAAATATTTATGTTATTATTACACAGAAAAGACAAAAATACCTAAATTTTTATTTAGTTTTAATAGACAAATTTTTGATAAAAATTTATTTTTGTTAAAAGATCGTAACGTGTCGATTATTTATAAAAGATCAAAATAATATAAAGATGAGATTTGTATAATGTTCAAAAAAATTTGTAAGTCTATATTGCGAATTATTAGACGTTATAATATTCCATAAATACTTAAATTAAATGTATAATGTTTATTTAATGAGCCTTTTTTCAAATAACTAACTTAATCTCAATCAAATAGAAACTAACAGTTTAGAAACTTTTATACAATAATATGTAGAAATCTCCAAGAAAATGACTTATGTATTTCATATTATTTAAGTCTATTATATTTCTCATATGCTCTAATTTATAATATATTAAATAAAATAAGTTCTTTGTACTATTACGCATCAATACACAAACATTTTTATTCGATTAATTCAAAATTTGCCTATCATTTGCCTTTATCTTTATGTTGCCAGTGTATGTAATGTCAAATACGTTTACAGTATATTACAAAAAATAATTTTATCACGTCGTGTTGTATAACATAAAGTAATTCTATAAAGATTAATTAAAATGAAAGGCAAGTTAAAAATAAAATTTAATATAGAATACTTGATAATTTACCTGAATGTCCACCATATATGAAAGCTTATCGTAATTAACCAGAAGAAATTCGATAAACTAAAAAAGTAGATAAAGAAAGCTGAAAAAAAAGAATAAAAGTAAATGATATAATAATGTAAATAATATATTAATTGTGGAAAAAATATTAATTATTATAGCTAAAATATATTAGTTAATTGCTAATTTAGGCGTGATAACTAAAAGGAATAACATAAAAAAAGTAAAAATTTAGCTAACTTTGTTTAGCTAACTTTTTTTCATGAATCATTGACCGCGTATTAAAATATAGACTCAAAGTTTTCAAGTTTTTGTTTCTCTATTTAAAAATAGATTTACTCTAATTTCTTGCACAAAAAGTTTATAAAAATAGTTAATAAATTTTATTGAAATTAAATTAAATAATGTTTCAAGAAATAATTCTGCAAAATTTTAAAACTACATTAATTAAGACATAAAATACATTAATTAAGACAAACCTAGATTAGTTAGGTATAGATTAAAGAGCATCTAAAATTTAAATGTTATTCAATAGTAATCCTTACATTTTTGAATTTATAACAAATTAGGTATGCACGTTATATGAAGCAAATTAATTAATACGCGAATATACATTATGCCAATAAATATACAGGTACGCTACATTTGATTGCATATAGAGATATATGATTTAGATATACTGTACCGATTGCAATACAGATGGGATACGGTATGTAATCCGCTTTGATCATATTATTCACAATGTGAAATGTGTAAGAGACGGACAAAGTAGCGCTGTAATTACGCAACATAAAGCCGTATACATTTTGGAGCTCTGGTAAAATGGAATACACCAAAAATATTGCCACCAAAAATAGTATGGACACTATGCTACAGAAGTTCAAATATATGACTTGTAAGACAAAAGGGGCATTAGAAAGAGTATTATCAGTCGACATAATTATTTGCTTGTTGATCTCGTCTAAAGTTTCTGAACAGAGGACCACGTCAAACTTATCTCCCCCTTCCACGACAGTAAGACAATATGATGTTGATTTAACAAATATTTTATAATAAGATAAATATATAGAACCATTGACAAAAATAATAAAATCGCGATGATAATCGGGAAGCTGGAAATGATTCTTTTCGTGGCACGAATCGTGGATGGCCAGTTGAAACAATTCGTCCACTCTCTTATTTTTGCTCTGTATTGAATCGTTTATATATTCATATACTTTCGGGAAAACGTATTTAATTTCTTCAGAAATGCATTTTCCGTCAACCATCCTCATGTTTTCACCAAGAGGACAGCAGAGTAGAAAGCAAGTAATATTATGGCACATTTCGTATGGAACGATGTTACCTTCATTACTATTTTTACTGCAGTTCTCAAAGACTTCATGCGACATGAAATCATTATTTTCAATCGAGTTTTCATAAACTTCCTGTGACATAAAGTTTCTTTGATGACTGACATTTGTTGAATTAGTGTGAGATTTTATTGGTATTTCCTCATCATTCTCATGATTGTGCACAAAATGCGTCTCCAGTTTATATCGTTTTGAATTGACATACTCATTATTGGTCAACTTTTCGTACACATCATATTGTAGAGTTTCAATTTTGATATAGTTTGTTGTAGATTCCGTGTCAATCTTGTATTGTACCGTCAAATTATCATATTTCCCTTCGATTTTTGTAAAATCTTTCCGAGATTTCGACAATGCAGTGACAAGGAGAACTCCGCAACACACAAACACAAAATTTTTTCCATACATTATTTCATAAGGATATACTTTAGAGTAATTAAATAATCAAACTAATCAAGTTAATGTTTATTATTTTTCACATAGGTTTTAAATTTTTAAAAATTAAAAAATATTATATTAAATATATTTATATTTTTAATTTTATATTAATTGAATGAAGGAAAGCGTCAAGTGCAACATATATAAATATAATAAAATTATAATATTTCTCTTAGCAAATTTTAAGAATCCATCTGACTGTATTCCGGCACTATTAACATTGACGATTGCGCGATTTACTTTTATTTATCTCACTAGAGTCAATCAATATAACACTGTATCACTACATTAAATTTGGTCATCTCCTTCCGAAAGTGAGAATAAGAATGCGCAAGGCTGTCTGCCTAAGAGAAGACATGAGATTGTCAAGGATGACGAGTTGTCGATACTTGTAAAAAAACTGTCAGTCTACTCCTTTAGAACTAAATACATGCATATAACTTTTACAGATACAAAAAGAAAAAAATTTATTGGAATTTCAACGTCCTAATACAGGCTTTTTATTTATCTCACGCACTTGGATTTGCAGTGTATATGGTATACACAGAACTAAAAATTACACACAGTGATAATTACGCAGAAAAATTAAAATAAAAAAGAAGAAAATTTTCGGTAGTTTTTTTCTAATACTTAAAATTATAAAATCTTCACAATTAAATTGTTGATCGCCAGTGATAAATTTTTCACAAAAAATAAGATGCAATTTAATTCGACCAAAAACTGGCTATTCATTTATTAAAAATAAGTACACACTACGTTTCGACCCACATTGTGGTTCTTTTCAAGTGCTAGAATACAAAAATACATAGTTCGTAACACATTATCATGACAGTACATCACGTCATGACCTAAGATCAAACAAGTAGTGTTATTACAATAATGCGGTATTAAGTAGCACTTGATAAGGGCCGAAACCCATGGCCGAAACGTCGTGAAGCTTAATAAATAGTAATTATAGCCAGATATGGTTGACGAAATTATTACCATTTTGAACTATTGACTGGTGACTTCTTAGTTCTTTATATATATATAAAAATACATAATTTGGTGAGCGAAATTAACATTACATTAACAATAATTTTGATCTGTAATACATACTTGTTCTTATTCAGCAATTACATTAATTAAAAATAGAAACACGACAGTTGTCCTGTCATATCGACAATCTATTAACTACTGTAGACTGGTATTATGTTTTTTAAATCATTTGAATAATGTTGTCATAAATAGAGGACTAAGGTTATCAGTGTCTATTTGTAAATTAATATATTTGTTTGTCTTTTTATATAGAACATTTCAGCGATCTCTCTTTTTCGTCTATTTTTCTCTGTGTGTAAAATACATGGCTCAAGCCATCGGAAGTCATGATTGCAATCGGTTCTATGTTTGGTCGATAGAGCCATTCGATTGTCTGACAATAAATTTCATAGTGACAATATTCAAATTATTAAAGATATTCTAACCAATAATAATTTTCCATCTCATGTCATTAAAAAATATATTAAAAAAAGATTACATGTAATTAATAATATTAATAATAGTTTTGACAACAAGAGAGATAAAAATAACAATAAAAAATTTGACATGTCTTCTCATATTATGTTACTGTATATCAATAATCTGACTGATAACATTTCTAAAACTCTGAAGAAAAAAGGATTAAAAATAATTCATAAGACTCCAAAAAAATTAAACACGCTAATTAAACGCGGTAAAGATGTATTACCAAAGATGAACAAAACGAATGTAGTATACAGACTAGAATGTAATGATTGTGACGCGTCGTATATAGGACAAACAAAAAGACATTTGATTACTAGAGTAAAAGAACATCAGAATAATATAAAAAGACATGAAACAAGCCACTCGGTGGTCAGTAAACATAGAACCGATTGCAATCATGACTTCCGATGGCTTGAGCCATGTATTTTACACACAGAGAAAAATAGACGAAAAAGAGAGATCGCTGAAATGTTCTATATAAAAAGACAAACAAATATATTAATTTACAAATAGACACTAATAACCTTAGTCCTCTATTTATGACAATATTATTCAAATGATTTAAAAAACATAATACCAGTCTACAGTAGTTAACAGATTGTCGATATGACAGGACAACTGTCGTGTTTCTATTGTTAATTAATGTAATTGCTGAATAAGAACAAGTATATATTACAGATCAAAATTATTGTTAATGTAATATTAATTTCGCTCGCCAAATTATGTATTTTTGTATTCTAGCACTTGAAAAGAACCACAATGTGGGTCGAAACGTAGTGTGTACTTATTTTTAATAAATGAATAGCCAGTTTTTGGTCGATTTAAATTGCATCTTGACTTAAAATTATAATTTCTTAAAAATTAAATATGCTTTTAAAGTTTTTACTGCATGTATTAAACAATAATTGTACATTTTAATTTTAGATTAATTGTAAGAATATCATACAGCATTTTTCTCATTAATTTAATATTTTATGTGCAAGCCATATTTCTCGTACATGTGTTTTTTAAATAACATAAACTTATGTTGTAAATTTTTTTACACATATCAAATACATATTTATACATATTGCTATTAGATGTTTTGCATTTTATTATGCAGCAATATCTATATAATTAAATTAAAAAATGTACTCTCAAGTGCATAATATTATAAAAAAATATTCCTAGCATTGAATGTGTGTTTGTATGTATGTGTAAACACGCTTTTGATAGCACAATTACACTGAAATACTATTAGAAAAAATACTATTTTTAAACAATACATATATTTAAAACGGTTGTGCCTGAAAATATTCGTAATTCATGGATCATGTTATCAGTTTAAGAAAAAATTTATTCTTTCTTTATATGTATACATATATTTATACATATATATAATATGTTATTTATCTGAATCAGAAATAATTTTTATCGTAATACAGCACAATGTATTGTATTGTATATAGTTTTCATACAAGATTATTTTTTAAAGAAAAATTTTTACAGGATTATAACTATTGACTTGATTCAATAATATATATCCAGTGTTTGCTGTTATATGTATACATATATGTGTATATCAATAACTTGAAAAAATTCAAATAATTAAATTATAATATAAATTTTATAGTAAAATTAAATTTATAGTTAAGGTTAGGTTTAACTGCATATCAATTTATATTTTATTTTAACAATATTCTTGAAAATACAATGGCTCATCAACTAAGAATCAAATATAAAAAAACAGTCAAAAAGTTGACTTATTTATTTTGCTGCTAAATTGGTTAAGCTATTATTAGAAGAAACAAAGTTTTTTTGTTTTTTAAACCACAATCTACACTTCATTCCTCTCGACTAAAGAGCCAAACGCGATGTTATTGCGACAATTAAGAAAGAAAGAAAATTTGGAAACTAAGGAATTTGAATCCTATGGTTGGGATCTTAAAAATTTCCCTTGTTCCTTCTCTTAACATCCTCTGTAAAGAAATAGGCGAGAAAAATATTGGTCCGAAAGTCGGCTTTTTTGTTTTTTCTTGCATTCTTTCTTTTCTTGCATATGTAAAATTTATGTATAAATATAAAGTTATAGAATAGTAGATAGACAGGTCCCCTTTGTAAATATCGACGACTCGTCGTCCTTGGTAATCTCATCTCTTCTCTTGTACAGGCATATGGTCAGCGTGCATTCTTATTCTTTCTTTCGGAAATAGAAGTCAAAATTAGATACATAGTGATACAGTGTTAATTTTATAGAATCTAGTGAGATAAATAAAAATCAATCGCGCAATCGTCAATGTTAACAGTGTCAAAATAAAATCAGATCAATTCTTCAAAATTTCGCTGAAAAACAAAAAAATATTTTAATTTTATTATATTTGTATATTTTGCACTTGACATATATTTACTTTGTTTAATTAATATACAAGCAAAAATATAAATATCTTTAATATACATTTTTTTTTAAACTCAAAACCTCTATGAGAAATAATAAACATTAACTCGACTGGTTTGATTATTTAATTACTCTAAAGTATATTCTTATGAAATAATGTGTGGAAAAAATTTCACATTTTTGTGTTGTGTAGTTCTTCTTTTCATCATTTTGTCATCGAAATCTCAGCAAGATTTTATGAAAAATGAAGAGAAAAATGATAATTTGACAATACGATGAGATAGATACGGACTTTACAAACTATAACAACGAAGTAAAAACACTGCGATATAATTTGTATGAGAAATTTACAAATACTCAATTCAACAAAATGCAGTATGAATTTCGCACTATTTCCACGAACAATGATCGCAAGAATGTTGATTCGATACAATATAAACTGAGCAGGTGTTCTGTTCATAATTATGAAGATAATGAGCAAATACTGCTGGCATCTCATACGAATTTAACAAATGTCAATCATAAAGGAAGTTTCACGTCACAGGAAATTTATGAAAACTTGATTAAGGAAAATGATTCCATGTCGTATGAAGTCTTTGAAAATTCCAGTAAAGATAATAATAAAAGTAACGTCGTCCCATACGAAATGTGCCATAATATTACTTGCATTTTGCTCTGCTGTTCTCTTGGAGATCGCATGAGGATGAAGGACGCTAAATGCATTCCCGAAGAATCTAAATACTTTTTTCCGTACATGTACACGAATGATTTGTTACAGAGCGAAAATAAGACAGTGGACGAATTTTTTCAGCTGACCGTTTACGATTCGTGCCAAAAAATGAATCACTTCCTACTACCAATTGGTTATCAGTACGATTTTATGATTTTTTCCAATGGTTCTATCTATTTATCTTATTTTAAAATATTTGCTAAATCGACATCATATTGTCTCGTTGTCATGAAAGGGGATGATAAGTTTGAAGTGGTTTTCTGTTCAGAAACTTTAGACGAAGTCAACAAGCGAACTATGGCTCGCCGAATTAATAATGTCCTCTTAATACGTAATTACAACGGTGCTTTATCCGTCGCTTAC